CAAGCCGAGAACACTTCACTTATCAGTTCGGTGAATTCTCGACTTGAATCTCTTCACGCTGGTTTGGCAACAGAAAGTGCTCTGAAGGAAGAACTTGCTCGACAAGCATCCTCGATTGAAGTTCAGAAGGTTCAGCTAGCTCAAGCTGAAAAAGAAATTGCTTTGTAAAAAGACAGAGAGAGCTGTTTTTCGCAGCTGTGCAGGGGATGTGAAGGATATGCTCACCAACATTATTGGTGCTCATGATCCTATCCTCACTTTGACCATTAGGAATCATCTCACTACCAAACTTCTTCCTGCCCTTGCATTGTTACACGAGATGAAGGGTGTTTCGGAGAAATTTGTTGCTCCAAAACAAGGGGGAGAGAGTGCTCATCAACCGAAGGTTAAAACTGAAACCGATTCTGCTCAACCGAAGGTCAAAGTTACAACCGAACTAAAGGATAATGTAGCTTCAGGTTCTGGTTCACAAGCCAAGAAAAAGGATGATGATAGCGATGATGAATCTGGAGAAACTATTGCTGAGGCTCTTAAGCGAAAGAAGAGGGATAAAGAGCATGATGAAACCTTGAAGGTTGCAAGGGAAGCAGAGGAGAGGGAAAGGAGAAACAAGGAAGAAGAAGAAGCCTTGAACTGCAAGAAGGCCTTGTTTCCCTTATGGACAAAAGAGGCACTTATCAATCAAGCTATAGAGTTTCCAAGTGTTTATTGGTTGGAACCTGTTGCTTCGTTTGACTGTGATAATTCTAAGGATTCGCAGCTCGACATGCCGATAACACGAAAGGCATTCACGTTTCACTGCTTTGATTCAACTGCTGAGGTTCCTTTTCCACATCCAAAGGTTGACCGAGAGCTTATTGATTTTTATCTGAAGTATGGACAACCTCAGTACTTGACATGGAGCGCACAAAAGATAATCACTGTCAAGGTACTAAAACCTACGTCTGCTGGGAGGTTTGTAAATGTCAATTTTAAGATCACTCGAGGGTCTTCAAACTCGGTGTCAATTATTTCCCTGGCAGACCTTCCCAATCTAAATCCTCATGACTGGATTCTTTTGTTTAATATTCTGCTCACAAATCCGAGGGAATATGAGCCGATATTGGAGCACTTGAAGAGGATGTTGGCTTCATACATCCATGAGGTTGCAGCTATGGATCAAGAGATAGCGAAAGTGATGAATAAGAAACCGACCATCAAGCCAACACCGAAACCAAGTGATGTGAATAAGATGAAGATGGGGCAAATAGATTCAACAAATCTTACTGTAATGTTTACAAAAGGCGAAGCTCACATATTTTTATTTGCTCTTGTTGATAAACATTTGTTTTCAACTGAATGCTTGGAGCACATCATCAACATTATTCATTGGTGCAAGTAGAACTCAGAAGCAGACAAAAAGAACTTCACGGACATGCTTCGGTGGTACATAACGTTCCGTCATCATTTGCTGGCTATCATTCCGAAGGTGTTCAAAACAATAAAGAAGTCTTCTGCAGCTCAGCCGAAGTGAGCTTTCTGTCCCATTGACGCAAAGGGGGAGATTGTTGAGTCTAATTGTGTTGCGTCTTGGGCTTATGTTTTGTATCCGGATTGGGCCTGTCCATCCGTGATTATCTAGTAGGGTTATACTATAAATATGCATGCATGTATGTGTTAGGGGGTTAACGTTGTTGATTATTACGTTTATTGTTTTTGTAACCCTAAACACCTCTACAGTCGAAGTTCTTAATCGAGCTCTTCTGAGGTGTTGAAGTTTTAATCATACGACACATTCAAAGCCATTCTCGTGTTCATAATTACTTTTTCTGCATAGAATCTAACGATCCTAATTGAACTTTGTTCTAACAAAAACTGGAAAATTTTATCTGGATTTTTGGACAGTTACATATTCTCAAAAACAAGTCACCATATGCACGTTTCTACAACCACCTACCAGATTACAACTTTCTTAAATCATTTTGTTGTTTATGTTCCCCATATCTTCGTCCCTGTAACAATAACAAATTGGAATTTAGTTTTGTTGCATGCATACTTTTAGGATATAGTGTTAAAATCAAAGGTTATTTGTGTTTTCATGTTCCAAGCTCTCGCAGTTACATTTCTCGCCATGTAGTTTTTGATGAAAATTCTTTTCCATTTCCTGAATGTAGCTCCAAATCAACCTCTCTTCCGTCAACTTCCTTTACAAACTTATCTTTTCACAAACTCCAAGATGCTTTAACTATGGGGTTCCCTGATACTTGACCCTTATCATCACCTATCCAGTCAACACCGGTCCTTGATTCACAATGATCTCCACCTTCCGGCCCCTTACCATTAAATAATCCAATGTTCGAACCATCCCCATCACCGAGTCTGTCTCCGGTCTTCATATATCAACAAGCTCCGTCATACTTTCGCTCTTCTAACAACTCTAAACATTGTATACTCAGTCGTGCTTCTACTCATTCGCTTAAGCCTAAATCATATATTACCACTAAATATCCCGTTACTTCTGACTCCTTTGATATTGAACTCAAAACTTTCTCCTAAGCCAAAAAGAACCCAAATTGGCAACATGTTATGCAGTTAGAGTTTAATGCCTTAATGATTAATGGGGCATGGGACTTATTTCCTAGACCCTCTGATACTAATATTGTTGGATGTAAATGGGTTTTCAGGATCAAAAAGAAACCAGATGGAACTATTGAGCACTACAAGGCCTGACTGGTGGCAAAAGGATTCAATCAAGAGATGGGTGTTGATTACTTTGGAACTTTTAGTCCCGTCATAAAGCCGGCTATGATTCGTTTGGTACTAATTATTACCATTACTTAAAATTGGTCTATTCGCCAAGTAGATATTAGCAATGCATTTCTTAATAGCGACTTAACTGAAACAGTTTACATGGATCAGCCACAAGGTTTTGTTGCATTTGATCGTCCGTCCCATGTTTGCAACCTTAAGAAAGCTCTTTATGGCCTTAAACAAGCTCCGCGAGCATGGTTTCATAAGTTAAATCAGACCTTGATTAATCATGGTTTCAAGCAATGTGTTTCTGATACTTCTCTCTTCATCAAACGCCATGGGGCTGATGTTCTTTATGTGCTTGTTTATGTGGACGATCTCATCATCACTGGATCAAATTCTTCCTATATTGATGAGTTTTTCAAACATCTGAACTCTATTTTCTCTGTAAAAGACTTGGGTTCCCTCAATTTTTCTTAGGAATTGAAGTTCATCGCAACTACTTTAGACTGATTCTCTCCCAAAGAGAATACATTCTAGAGCTTCTTAGTCGCAGCCAAATGATGTGAGCCAAGCCAATTGCTTCAACAGGAGTTCCTGATTCAAGATTAATTAAGGGGGGAGATGCCTTTGCGGATTTGCACCTTTACTGTAGCATTGTGGGTGCATTACAGTATGTCATAATTACCCGACCTGAACTTGCTTACTCTGTTAATAGTTTGCCAATTTATGCATAATCCATTTGAGCATCATTGGGCTGCAGTAAAGGGAATGTTATACTACCTCAAAGGGACTCTGGATGCTGGTCTTTACTTTTGTCCATCCCGGGATTCTCGTCTTCTTTGTTTCATCGATGCTAGTTGGGCATCGAATCCTGATGTCTGTCACTCTCAACATGGATTTTGCATTTATTTTCGGGGTAACCTGATCAGTTGGTCTTCCAGAAAACAAAAGGGTGTGGCTCTATCCAGCACTGAGGCTAAATACCGGGCCATTGCTTTCGCCTCTGCTAAGCTAATTTGGCTTCAACAACTTCTACAGGAGATGGGAACATCCTCTCATGGTCCCCCGATCATTCTATGTGACAATCTTAGCACTACTTTTCTCACAGCCAACCCTGTTTTTCACCAACGATCAAAACACATCAAGATTGACTATCACTTTGTTCGGGAGCAAGTCCAAGCACCTGAACTTATTGTTCGGCATGTCAAGTTTGTTGATCAAGTTGCAGATATCTTTACAAAGGATGTGGCTTCTTCCCGGTTCAAGTATTTACGATACAAGCTGCTCGTCCGTAACCGATCTTGAGCTTGCAGGAGGGCATTAAGTTTTTACGTTGTTGATTTATTCTTTGTAATTATCTTCTCAATATCTGTAGCCCTTCATCATAGGAGATGGTTTAGGAAAATTGTTGTAAATGCCTTGTATAAAAGTTACATTAGATCAATGAGAATTTTAACCTTTTCTCCACAAATACTGAAATTTATAATCTTCAAGTCTTATCCATATCTTCCTTTTTTAATTAAAAAAAACCCATCTTCCCTCTATACATGTCTTTAAGAGTCATTTACAGCTAGATACTTCACGATATGCCGCTAATAGTCGAATCAGTTGCCTATCAAGACAGTCACACTGATAATATAGGCTCACACTGACTCCATCAACTTGGCTAGTAATATGTGACGACTTATCTAACTTGTCTTTGAGACTCAAATCATTGGGTTTGATCCTAAAAATCTCCCATATTTGATAATGTTAAAAGACAACTATATCAATAGGTACATTTTGCACTGCATATATGTATCTTATACAAACAAGATGTATCTAAAGAATTTGTCTCAATCAATAAAGATTTTGTTTCGAAGTATGTCATTGTATTTACTATTGTGTGATTGTAAATCTGGAGACAACGAGCTTATAAGTCCATTAAATTTCAGTGGGTTGAAACTTTTACACATATTTAGTCCATAATGATCCATTCTATTCCATGTAAACAAAACAAATAATTTTTAATCCAAAATTAGGCGTTTCATTCCTTATCAAATTCAATATTATCAACACTACGTAAGACTTTAATATCAGTTTATGCAAACATCTTTAATGCACTAACCCGTATACAAATAAACAAGTGTATAAAAAAGTGGTGTTGGGTCACATTGACCAATATTTAGCCGCATTAAAAAGGTAGTGGTTTTGAGAAAATTATATTTTGCCTTCATACCAAACTCAATCATACAAGTCTTTTTTGCAACTCTAATTCAAAAAAAACACCCAAAGTGATCATATTATCATAAGAGAATAAGATGAGATGCAAGGAGGCAAAGTTGTTAGGAGCAATTGCTATAAGACTACATTTCTAACACACCACACTTCAAACAAAGAACTCAAAAAACCCTAAATCTGAAGAGTTTTAACTAAAAATCACTCGATAAGGTTTTAGTTTACTCAATAATCTTCAGTAAACTAGGCAAAGTCAATACCCGAACCCATAACCTTCGATGAATGACGAAAAACACATTCTTTTATGTTGTCACCAAACGCCAAAGGATTTTACTAGGTTCGTTCTTGACTTCTTTCGTTAGTTTCAAAGGATAAGAGTAAACATCGCCTACCTAAATCCTCCATCATCTCATCCAATAGATGCGACCCTACAAATCAAACAGACTAGAGCAAAGTGTCAGAAAAATAACGTTTGCGACAAAAGTTGTCAATAAACTAAGAAAAAGTGTCGCTAACTATGACAACTAATGGTCGCTAAGGAGGTCGCAGCATATCTACTTGCTACAAGCGTCACACCTTAACGACCAACCATTTTTTAGTATTTACAAGTGATGATACTCATAGACATAGCTTAATACGATTTATGAAAATGTTTTTCTACTTGTGAGATGAATGAATCATATTTTACGTGAAGGGCGGGTTAAACAAATATTTTTTTCCCTAAAAATAACGACACTTTTCTGAAATCTTAAGACACAGTTTGCGACAGTCTCTTACCATAAAAAAAAAACGATGAGGATGGTTATGGATTCTCAGGAGCCACCACTGCGGATTTGATCCTTTCAACAGTGCACTTAATAAGACTATTAACCGTTGCAACTGAGCCCAGCGATAATTTTGCAGTAGGAACCGAATCGACTAGAATCTGGAATGCAACTGTGAGTAAAGAACCCCCATCTCCGACCTCTGGAATTCTTCCTCCTTGATGTTTTCCAGGTCCATCAGGAAGTATAGCAAAACCAGATGGTAGTAACGCAACATAATCAGGGTCACCTCCACTTAGCACCACGTTCATTGCTGTAATGTCTACTGGAGCATAGATAACATACGAACCCGTTGAATCATTTGAACTCTCCTGAAGTATGAGCATGTTCCCCTGGCTTGAATTCGCACTCTAGAATACAATATAAGTCAAAGATCGGTGGCCTTCTTCATTATACATAACAAATATCCAAGCTATGTTACTACTTTTACTCAATTTTAAAAACGTACATTGACTCGTAGAAGCGAGACACAGTTGCCAGGATCTCGACCGTTGGCAATATGTGCCATTTCTTGAACCAATCCACCATTTGAAAGGATGTCCCACTGCATATAATTTTAACAACTATTCAATGAATATGGATATTTGTTGTTAACACTGATCGCAACGTTTTATATTTTTCTTTTCATTAGAGCGATAAATGTACGTAAACTGAAAATCGAATATTGTTTGTTAACATCATCATCACGTTTTAAACGTTTTTAGGTTTGTGTTTGATGGAAGACAAGATTATTTTACCTCACTCCTCGAGTTTTCATCACGAAGAAAATCAAAAACTCGTTTTGGTGGAACAGGGATCCAGAATGATGTAGCAGCACTTAGCACAATACCAGGAGGCCTGCCGGGATCATCGACACTTTTTCTGGTCATAACACGAACATCATCCGCACCACTTCCAGATAAAGTCGTCCATGTATGTGTTGTCGATGCTCCAACACCGCTACAAAAACTCAATACCATCCTCTCAGCCAGCTTCAACATACTCTTTCTCCCTTCTAGTGTCGTTATAACTGTCCAACATTGTTATAGTCAAAATCATAGATGAAATAAAGGTACTTAATTCAACTATTTTAACTCGAATATATCCTAGGTAAATTCTATGTGTGCATTACCTCCAACGTCGCCTGCTGGAATATTGTTAGCCATTGCACTTGCAAGACGTTCACATTGTCTATCAAGAGTTGAGACCCAACGTCTTGCCCCAAATGCTAGACCAGAGTTCACTACTAACCCATAGATGTCATGAACGGCTCTATCATCGACTTCTACGTGTTCAATCCATGTAACCTAGAATACGAAAGTGAAACATGAACCTTAATCGTAATTTGTAAATATCCTAAGATTCGTAATTCATGTTTTTTTTTAAATGATGAAAAGGTTATAACTTGAACCAACCTTTGAGTACCCATTGGGCAGTTCTTGAATTAAACAACCGGATGGCCTTCTTCTAGATCTTGACATTGCAGAAGGGCGTAAGTTGTCCAAGGAAACATCGACCACAGCCCAGGTCCCATCAGCATGTTGTTTACAATACCTAACAAAATAGTACTCTCGGGTTGGAACGAGTGGCGAAGGAACCTGATACTCGGCAGTCATCTGAAAAACATAAACGTTAGAACAATACATATAGGCTTCATAATTTCTACAACAAATTAATTGAATCCAATAATTTTACATGTATATACCACCCCAAATGCAATAATGTACATGTATTTTTACACTTCTAATATACAATTTTACATATTTTATAATTTACAAGACTATGTTTGGTGTAGTATCTGAAAAACTAGTAAATAGCAGAAAAGTTAGCCGATAAAAATGATGTTTGGTAAAATTAGCGGATAATTTAGCTGAAATATATAAAATGACATTAGTAAACATTTAAAAGAATATGTTTTTTATAATTAATTAAAATTATCAGCTAGATGACGCGCCTAAAATAATTTTGTACATTCTACTTCCACTCTTCACATATCTATAATTTGAAAGTTTAAATCATAAGATTATATGTGTGTATAAAAATATAAAATTAAACTAGTAATTACCACTTGTAGTGCTCCATTGTAATTTCCAGCCACTCCAGTTGAAAGGACTTCAAGAGTCATAGCTCTTGAAACAATCCCGGAAAACACATTCGACCATTGATTCTGCAGAATCACGATATGATTTAAGGTTGAAAATCATCTAAATTTTGAATTAGTCATAATTTTAATCTAAAAAGAGAGGGTAATTCTCCATACCACATCCATTAGAATTTCAACAAGATTGATATGATTCATGATGACAACAGCAGATTCTCTTGAAGCTTCAGATTTCAATCCCAATTGTTTGGGTCCAATGCCTCTAGGAAACGTTTGCGAATAATCGTCTTCATTCAAGGTTTCTGATGAGTTATCAGAGCTTGGAACCCACAAAGGCTCACCAGATTGTGCCATTCTTACTAGCTCCTCCATGGCTGCAACCGCTAGTTCAATTATAACTGGCTTGTCGGCCTCACTAGGACCTGAAACTGACCGGAGAAGGTTGCTGGTTCCAAACATGTCATCCACCATTACTGGTTGTGGACTAAAGCTAGCAATTGGTAGGTCAAGAGAGCGAGGTGGTCCATTTTGCGTTAGATTAGGGTAACTTAGCATTGGTTTGCCAACATATTTTGCAGCAATTCCAGATATCCTATCAATCTGTGGAACGAACAAGAACATACAATATAGTTTTAGAAACCAGATTTGTAACTAGGAAATTGAGAAAGAGAATCTTGTTTAATTTTAGGGATTTAGTTTCTTAGGGTTTTTAATTGATTTTACTTCTTCACGGAGGCGAGCATTTTCGATTCTCAGATGTTGTTCATCGAATGACATCTCCCCGATGGCTGCCGGACCACCACAGTTGGGACAGGTGGCATTGGTGAGGGCTTCTTTGTATCGTATGTTCTCCATTCGGAGCTTCTCATTCTCGTTCCTAAGGCTTGAGTTCTCATGGCGTTCATGTTGAGCCTAAATTAACATACAAAAGTCACAACTGAGCAGCTAGATATATATAAGTTCACAATCCTTCAAATAGAGCAAAATAATTAAAAGACGTAGAACATTTTAAGAAAAAAAAAAAACACAAGAGTGTATGGTGTCAACTACAAAATAAAATCAGGATAATTTTTTTGAGGATTAATAATTAACTTTTTACAAATTTATATTTCCCCAACTACGTGCTCCTTTTATCAAATATTTTTGTAACATATTTACTCAGACAACAATTCATCTTGGTATCACCTAATGGAAATGAAAGAAATATCGTTGCATAGTTTTAATTAGTTAATGCTTAATTTCGTTAACCTTGCAGCGCAAAATAATTAAAAGACGTAGAATTACACCATTACTAAGAATTGATATAGGTCCATGGAGTAACAGTATGTGGCAGAAAAAACAAATATGTCTTAAGGCTAGCTAGCTACTCATTTAGAATTGAAAAGTTAGATGATTATATATATAAGTTACAAAATAGTTAGAATATGCAAGCATAATGAGTACATTTCTCAACCTACAAGAACGAGTAGTATATATTTGATGCACTACATGGAGTTGCCTTTTTACTAAAAATGTGTCATGTAATCAGAATACCTTCATTTGAGTTCTTTTGTTTTGGAACCAAAACTTGACTTGCAAAGGCTCTAAGGTTAACCTTCTTCCAAGTTCCTTCCTTTGTTTATCATCTGGATGTGGGCATTCTTTAAAAAACCTACATTCAACAAGCTAAGATCAAATATTTGTAAAAACATGAATACAAACATCAAGATCTTTAATCAACTTACGATTCCAATTCTTGGATTTGATGTTGAGTGTGACGATGGTAACGTTTCTTCTTGTTGGGACGTTGAGTGGGATCTTGATCATCGCCTGAGGGAGCTTCCATGATATCAGTCCCGGATTTACTCTCATAGTCATCATCTCTAAGCATATCAAGCTGATTTTCTGGTGACTTGTGGCTCATATCCAGAAGATGATGATGGTGGTGACTCTCAAACATGTTAGGCTGAAACATTGTTCTTTAATTCCTCACGCTCCTATCATAAAAGGTTTTACTTTAAACTAATTAATTATTCAAACTTAATCAATAAATAAAATATTAAACTAAAAATCATTTAATTTGAATACAAGAAGTATAAAGATAAACGTTAACTTATTAAAAAAATAATAGTTATGTTTTTAATACGAGCTTGACATTCGAAGTCAACTAGTATGTACGATATGTTTAATGATTAAAAGAATTAATAATGAATAGACAAAGTATAATAACTACAATAAATACAAGAAAACGTGTTTAAAGTGATTGTAAAATAAGTATTAATTATACATTTTTAAAATATAGGCTTGACACCCAAGAGAAAAACAACAAAGAAATAATGGGACTAATTTACCTTCCACATTGTTCATTGATGAAGTTTTTGGTATTTATTGAAAGTTATAAAGATCTCGATCGTCTTTTTAGCAACATTTTTATGATCACAGAAAAAACATGGTTACATAATCAAAAAAGGTATGTATAACAATTATATACCAATACATACAACCTCTATGTTATAAAACTTAAAAATATAACAAATTCATATTAATGATATAATTAATAGAAAACGAAAGGACTGCCAATTAATTTTGTCTTGTACATATTGATGGTTTTATTTTGATATAGTTATGAGACATAAACTTTCAAATTAAATATATTAAACTATGAAATCAGTGAAGGAAAACATAGGAAATTTGGGTTGGATTATCGAAATTTGTACACACAAAAGGCATAAATGAATTTAATGGAGGTCAACAAATCTATATCTTTTTTGAAAACAAAAGTCAACTTTAAAGAATAAAAAAGTTGATACCAGTCTTACACAATAATTTTTTTTTTCAACTTTTCTAGCATTTTTTTTTTTGATAGGAGTTAACAGAATTAAAAAGAATTTATTAGCCACCGCTTGATAGTTATGAAGATGAAAAAAATAAATACAACAGTGCTGGTAGCCTTCTGCCTAACCAATGCTTATCCAGTTTCTTGAAACAAGCTTAGAATTGTGAAATGGCTCCAAAGATTACAATTCTTTCGCATGTTCTTATCCGATCTGGCTCTCGCTCAAAACTTAAATTAATATTACATAAACGATCTTGATGACTCTGATAGAAGATATAAAAGAATTTAGTTCAAGACTTCTTAAGTGTGTTTCTTTTTTGTTGTAGGTTTGGAAAAAACTAAGTAAACCAAAGATTATTGCATACCTTATCATAAGAAACTCATGGTTTTGCAGTCTGAGGGGTTGAATAAAATCAAATATCAAATTTCTCGCTTTTATCTTTAAGAAAGTATGAAATATCTTAGCATCCAGGTACATGTTTTCATACACATTCAGAAACCCTAGCACATCACTAACCCTTCTTTCTCTCTCTAAAGAAAGAGAGTTTTCTGGTCGGATTTGCTTCTGGTTTCAATTTGGTAAAGGATACTCGATCAACGATTTAGTTTTTAGAGTGAAAAAACAATCTTTAAAAGTTTGTTGAATTTTTAACAAATTAAATAGAGAATTATTTCCAATCCAACTAACCCAAATGAATATGTTGAAGATATCTTCAAAAGAATAAAAGCATCAAATTTCATCACTTTCATATACCAAACGTAGCTAATGAACCGGAGAAAGGCGTTATGGTAACTTACTGGACTTCTGACTTGATTTTGCAGGTTTTTTAGAGGCAAAGATCGGGTATTCGGGGAAAGGGTCAACTAGAAACCACTTTTAGGAGAGTAAAAGAATGGTTTTCAGGCTGGTTTCCATTGAAGCTACCTGTATTTTTCTTGTGATAAGAATTTAAGAAGAATAAGGAGAGAGAGAGAGAGAGAGAGAGAGAGAGAGAGAGAGAGAGGGGAAAGGAACAGGTGGGAGAATTGAAGAGATGGGAGGGGGAGATAGAGAGGAGTAAATGCAGTGTAAAGAGAGGATGCAAACGCATTTATGGAGAAAGAGAGAGAGACTTGTTGCAAGCTGGTGCTCATTGCATCTCTCTCTCACACACTACTATGTCTAAATGGTTAAATATCTATCAAATGAAAATTTTCTCGTTTAATATCATAATCTTTTTACTAAGGTTTATTTAATTAATCTTTTTACTAATGTTTATGTGATTATAGTTTTACAAAAGAAATAGGGTTTTATTAAAGCTTTTACCTAACAAAAAGAGCGGCCGGCCGGCGTCAAAATCTTCTTTCCAATAGGTTCAGGCGTTGCCAGCGGCTCCGCCGTACAACGGTAACGCCAAAGTGAATATGTCACGTTTCAACTAACCACCCAATTCTCTCTCTGTCTCTTTCTCTCTCTAAAAAAAGCTTTGAAATGTCGTCGCTAAAGACATGCAAAGTCATCATTATATCATTTAGCGTCGACATGTCGTTGTTAATGGGTTGCCACATGTCGTTGTTAATTGTTATGCCACTAATAGTCTCGTCGCAATTCTCATCACTAATATCATATGTTGCCGCTATTATATCCTTTAGCGTCGACATGATATTGCCGCTAATGTTTTTCTTGAAATAAAAATGTTATGCAAATTATTTTATATAAATATAGAAATAATATATTTAGGAATATATATATATATATATATATATATATATATATATATATATATATATATAATTATGTTTTAATTTTTTGTCGTATAAAACTAAAAGAAACTGCTTGTCTTGATTTTTATTAAAAACAAAGACTTTATTAAAAAACAGTAAAAAGCTGGAATTACAAATTGTCTTTGTCGCTTCCCCGGTTATTTTGGATGTTTTGGTAAATTTGGATAATAAAAGATTGAATCTTATCTGAATGTTGTTGCATTATGTTGTTTCCCCCGTTATTTTGGATGTTTTGGTAGATTTGGATAATAAAAGATCGAATCTTATCTGAATGTTGATGCAAGCGTTGGGTTTTGAAGAATAACATTAACACCCGTCTACAAAATAAGTATATAAGTTAAAACAACAAACTAAGAAAATGAAATCAGTACTTAACATTTAATTCACAAATGCATCAAGCCTTTACACAATATAGCAAGCTATCAAACTACCAAACTATAAAACTACCAAATTTATAACAAGTGCATCAAGTCCTTAAGAATTTAATAAACAATCAAACTACTTAGTTCATAACAATGCATTAGTTTCTTAATAAGTTAACAAACTTTCAATTTTACAATTTTTAACGGTTGGAAAACAGTAACATTTTAATTTTTTTTAATACTTTTACCAATATAAATATAAACATCTAGCATTTCTAAAAGCATACATTCTCTCATATTACATTCTATTAATTTTTTTTCCAATTTCGTTCACATTTTATCCAATATCATTCTAAACGATTTTTCATGGCAAATACAAAAAAAAATGGTTCTAGCAAAGTCACAACAATCCTACAAAACCAATTACATCTTTCACCATAAAATATTGGTTATAATATGTATACCCGGTTTTCTGAATCGATTATGGGAACTCAATTCCAACATTTGTTGGAAATAAATATCAGTGTCATAACTAATTGGTGTAACTTTAGGAATAATGAAAAATTCATTTTTGAGTTGCCATCAGGAATTAATCTAGAAGTACCGTGAGTGAATGTTAATTGTTCAACAGTTGAACAATGGAAACATTATGGAATCCCATATAGTGGACACTTTTAGGGGATTTCAAAAACCTTCTACAATCTATCCTACTAATGTAACGCCCTGTTTCGAATCATATCCAATTTCGGGATGGTGATCAAGGATTGGGTATTAGCAGACTTAGGACCCTTGAAGAATTGAGATGTGGACTCATTTGGGGTGGATGATGTAATTTGGATGATCCGGGTATTCGGTTTGTGCTTTGGAGCCAAAGGGTATTTTGGTAATATGTCGGCTCAGGCTTTTATGGAAATTGGATGTTTGTTCAGGATATTGTAAGACAGGAATGAGTTGATTAAAGCGTAGAGCTTCTTGTTACCTTTTCTTGGATATAAGGATCGTCATAATCGGATTTATAACGAAGAAGTTATGGCCTTCGGAGTGCTTAAGGGTTTAAGAGGAAACCCTAGTACGTGGGGCGTACCTAGGGAGTACGCGGAGCGTACTGACGCGAAGGGTGATACATGAGGCATAATGTAGTGTACTCTTAGTGTACTGTGAGGGTTGGATCGGGGGTGCAAGACCTTGTACGTTGGGTGTACAAGGAGTACGCGAGGCGGACGAGGGGTAAATGAAAACTCTAATTTTTGATGGTGTACCCTATATAAGCTCATTAAGTCTTTAGGGTTGGCCTCTTTACCAGCCTCCAAGTCCCAAAACCCTAGAAATCGTCCCTTAGCCTCTTTGGTGGTGTTTTTGAGCTCATTATGTGCATCTTGGTGTGTTTTGGCTCTTATTCAAGAAGAAGGAGTTTGGTGCAAGGTTGTGGGTCAAGGAAGAGCTTTTGGATCTTTATTATGTGCTTCATTTCCAGTTTGTTTTAGGTAAAAAGCTATGAACTTGTTCATTAATGGCATAGATCTATTTTATATGAGTTTTGGTTTCTTTTTGGCCCCAAGAATGAGATCTAGTGGTTTTGTAACTGCCCAAATTTTCATAAAATTTTTAAACTTTTAATTTCATAAACATCATCCATAGGAAGTACAAAATCCCAATACATATCCATATTATTTTTGATATTAGAGCACAAAAAGCTAAATGTGAAAACACTGGAGAATGCACGCCACGCCATCAAGTCGGGACCTTGCCCTTATGATTAGAAGTACTTGAAACAATCAATAAAACTGTAACACAATCTTAGTGAGTTTCCCAATCACACAAATCATATAATCACATAATATCATGCATATACATATACATACAAGTTTTCCATGGACTCCCTCCATGGACTTCAATGGAATGCCATGGGCTACCACCATGGTCTTACATCTGCATGTCATGGGCTCCCCCCGTGGTCTTGCCAAGTGCCATGGGCTCCCTCCATGGTCTTCACATACCCATGCATAAATCAAATAGCAAACCATTACACATTCCAATACCAATCATCCCGTATCAATTAATGGGTCGGCTTTGGTGCCTTCGACCCATGAGTATGGTGAGAAGACTCACCTCAATACTGCATGGAAGGTGACTAGGTCGGGATTCCAATATCCGCTCTACACAACGCTAAAATAGAAACAATTTCTTAAATACAACTCAAAATGCCCTAAAATCCCTTAAAGGTCAAACTTGGTCAAAGACTAAGGTCAAGGATCAAAGTCAACGTTCTGAGATGACCCAACTCGCCGAGTTGTCCCTCAACTCGTCGAGTTCCTCTGTCACCCGAACATATCGGGAAAAATCCCATCAACTCGTCGAGTTGGCCAGAATTCCAAACTCTTAGTGCATTAAGCTGATACCATCGAATCTAGGGACTCCAAATCTCAGATCTCATCCAAAATGATGTCTAGAAGGATAAAGTTTCCAACTTTTCCCTTAAGAACCATCCAAAAAGAAGCAAACCCGAATCCTAGGTTGTATAATCATGTAAAGTTTCCAACTTTACGTCCATGCAAGCTGGAAATACACTCTAGAGCTTAATAAGGACTTAATGAGGGGCTTAATGCATGAATGGGACTTGGAACTAAAGAAAGTTTGCAACTTTCAGCCAAGAGAAGTCATGAAGGGGTTAGATCTAACATAATAACCCCTGGAACCTTCAACATCTTGGATAGCCCAATCAAATTCCAAAATCATGCTAAAACTTCCATTAAAGAGATCTAGATGATAAAAAAGCAAGATGTTGACTTTATACCTCAAGAAGACTGTTATTGATGAAGAGTTTCTGGATCTATACTCCTTCTTCTAAGCTAGATGCTTCCAACTTCCAAGTTCCTTCCAAAGAACCACCAAAATCAACTCTCAAAGCTCACACAATCACTCTTGAAAGGAGAAACGAACTTAGGGTTTTCTGGACAAAGGGAGGCTGGTATGGAGGGCAGCCAAGGGGCTTAAGTCCTTTAAATAGGGTGCAACACCCGCAACCACAAAATTCTCGACACGACGAGTTGCATCTCCCAAACTCGTCGAGTTCCCACAATAATTCAAATATTTTGAGAAATGAATAATACGTGGACCAAGCGTTACAAATCTCCCCCACTTGAACTAGACTTCATCCTAGAAGTCTTTTGATGCAAAAAGGTCCGGATAGTGCTTCCTCATCTCATCCTCCGGCTCCCAGGTCCATTCGAAGTCTCTTCGGTGCTGCCATTGCACCTTTACTAACTTCACTTTAGTGTTCCGAAGGGTCTTCGTTTTTCTGTCCAGAATCGCAATGGGCTTTTCCACCTAGTTCAGGCTCTCATCAATCTAAATATCATGAAGTGATACAACCATCGACTCGTCAGCCACACACTTCCGTAGCTGCGAAACGTGAAATGTACTGTGGATCTGCCCAAGCTCCTCAGGAAAGTCTAACTGATATGCAACCCTACCCATCCGGGCGATAATCCGAAACGGACAAATATACCTGGGGCCCAACTTGCCCCGCCTCCTGAATCGGATAACACCCTTCCAAGATGACACCTTCAGGAGCACCATGTCCCCGACCTGGAACTCCAGGTCCAATCTACGCCCATCCCCATAGCTCTTCTGCCTGCTCTGTGCTTTCTGAAGCCGGTCGCGAACCTGTTGAATCAACTTGGTCGTCTTAAGCACCAATTCGGTACTTCCCATAACTCGATGCCCCACCTACCCAGCAAACTGGAGTCCTACATCTCCGACCATAAAGCGCTACAAACGGTTTCAGTCAATACTAGCATGATAACTATTGTTGTATGAGAACTCTGCTAGTGGAAGG